TCGAGGGTCTTCCTGTTTTTCTCTGACCCTCTACTTTACCAAGCATAATGTCCTTCTTCAGAGATTGGTCCCTGTAATTTATGCCTATCATACAGTAATTGTTTTATAAGTACTGTCTGGATTTATTACCATAACTCTTTTTATGCCTAGTTCCCCTTGGAATCCCTGGTGGTCCAAATGACTAGCACTCACCGGAAGGTTGGAGGTTTGAGGCCACTCAGAGGTGCTTTGGAAGAAAGGCCTGGCTATCTGCTTCTGAAAGATTTGCCATTGAGAACCCTAGAGGGTGCAGGCCTCCTCTGACACACGCGGGGTTGCCGGGAGTTGCAGTCAAGTCAGTGTGGTTTTAGTTTCCCATACCGTATGGATACCGAGTGGTCTGGCTTCAGAGCCCACCATCCTGATCACTCTTCTTTAATGTCACCCTTACTCGCTAGCCATTTATTAGTCACTTTCTAACTGTGTGACATTGGGTAAGCTATTAACTTCTTCATGCTTGTTGTTTCAGTTGTAAAATAGAGATGACAAGGTATGAACGCATAAGATTATTGTGACAACTACACGTGAAGAGCTTAGTCCCTGGCACATAGTAAGTGTTCAGTAATCGTTGGCTGTTATTTTAGGAATTCCTGGGTGGCATGATTGGTTTACATGTTCAGCTACTGACAGATTGGCCATTCAGCTCCACCCAGAGGTGCCTTGTAAGGAAGGCCTGGCAATCTGCTCTTGAAACACCAGCCACTTGAAAACTGTGGAACACAGTTCTCCTCATACAGTGGTGTTGCCATGGATCAGAGTGGATTCTGGGCAGACAACAATGATTATTTTATTATATAGCAGATTTATGTAATTCTGTTGGTGGGCAGTTAGAGTTCTTTCGGTGTATTTATTCGTTCAGTGGCTATTTGAGTAACAGTAATCTAGGTGCAAACAGTTAGTTATAGGTGCCAGGTCTTCAGTGGTTTCTGGGGCTTATATTCGGTGCGGGAGCCAGACAATGGATACATAAACAAATAGCATAATTTTAGATAGAAGCGGGTATGAGCATGATCTGTTAGGTGGCCACGTGGACTTCTCTGAGAAGATCTCAGTCGCACAGTGACCTGAGAATTGGGACTTGTTAAAAAGTGGGAGAAGAAGCATTGAGACCTGTGTTGGCAAGGCGGGAGCCAGCTTGGTATTTTCTAGGAGCAAGGAAGGGTCAGCAGGGTTATAGTCAAGTTAGCAAGGGAGAGAGTGGGATGAGAGATGAGCCTGGCATGCCCCGGCAGGGGGTTTGTGTAGGAAGCCTTCGAAGAGTCAGCAGGGCAGTTACATGGTGACCTGATTTTCTTTTCTTTCTCTTTTTTTTGGTATTGTGGTTTATGACCGTAGAAAGATATTGATGATTGATTATTAAGAGGAGAAAAAAACAGGATTCAAATGATATGGTAAAATGCCCTTTTGGCCAATAAAATATACAGGCAAATATGTGCATGTAAAAATCCAAGAACATAAATCAAATTGTTAACAGTTTATCTTTGAATAGTAGAATTGTAGATAATTTTTATCTTTTGCTCATCTGTGTTTTTTAATCTTTTTTTTTTTTAACAGCATTTTTCTCTTGAGTAGCTTTAGTTTTCTTTTTCATTTTAAGAATAATTTTTAGAATAATTAGAAAGCTGCTTTCTAAAACATTTTACTTGAGGGCTCTAGTTTACATTTGAAAAGATCTCTGGCTGGGTTCCGGATAGTGCTTTTGTGGCAGAGACTGAAGCTGGGAGACCAGATCTGAGGTAGCTGTGGCTTGGTCAGTGAGAAATGGTGGTGCCTGGACTAGGATATGGCTGTGGAGGTGGAGGTAAGTGGATGGACGATGCCGTATGGAAATATTTGTACATGATGTTTGTGCCTACTTGAATGCTTGTAGGATTGACTCTTAGAACTACATTCGAGAGTCTATATAGATAATAATAGGTAACATTCATTAAATGCTGACTATATGCCAAGTAAGGAACTCTGGTAGTGAAGTGGTTAAGGTATTCGGCTGCGAACCTAAGGTCAGCTGTTCAAACCCACCAGCCCCCCAGTGGGAGAGAGATGAGGCAGTTCACTTCCATAAAGCCTTGAAACCCTGTGGGGAAGTTCTGCTTGGTCCCATAGGGCTGCTATAAATCAGAATGACTTGATGGCAGTGGGTTTGATTTTTGGTTTTATGTGCCAGCTACAGTTTAACCCACAAAGTGACCCATAGGATAGATAGTACCCACTCACATTTTTTACCACTAGGGTTTTGTGGGAAACTGCTGTTCCACTTTTAGTGCCTGCTACCATCTGGTAGGGGCCGGTATAACTGCATGAATCTGAAGAAACGGTCCTCATCCCACCAACACCAGCATGAGAGGCTCCTCAGAACAATGTATCCTACTAATTTTATCAGAATCTTTATTACCGCAGAAAAAATTCATTCTCTCTTGAAAGGGTTAAAGTGCATGTCTTGTAATCTAAGGAGCCCTGGTAGTGCAGTGGTTAAGCACTCAGCTGCTCACTGAGAGGTTGTTAGTTTGAACCCAGCAACTCCATGAGAGAAATACCTGGTGACCTGCTTCGTAAAGATTACATGCAGCCTAGGAACCCCGTGGAACAGTTCTAGTCTGTCTCCTGGGGTTGGTAGAGTTGAAATTAACTTGACGGCATATAACAATATGTGCCAGGTACTGTTTAAAGCCTTTTCTTGTAATCTAACATAAAACAGACTGCAGTCCCAGGACTCCTGCATTGCTAAGGATTAAAAATATAAAGATGGTATTTAGTGTTGATGGTACTTGAATAAAAAAACCTGGCGCAGTCAGTGTCTGTGGGGCTGGGTGGGAATGTAGCGCTCCTAGAGAGGCCACTGGGCTCTGTGACTCATTGTCAGAGGCGGTCGTGTGTGACTTGCTGGGAAAATTGAGAGATGGGTATGCTCACTTGCTTCTGCCATGATCGGAAAGGACTTTTCAAGGAAATGGCATTGGAGTTGGGTTTTCAAGCATGCGGAAAGCTTGACCAGTCAGAGAGAGGGAGAGAGGGCACATTCAGCTATGTGGAGTGTGATTAAAGTCTGAATGAGGAAAACTGAAGGCAGATGTGGGGCTGGGTGGACTGATCTGCAAATACTGGGTTGCTGCACTGATAGGGGATAGGGCTGGCTCTAGATGGCTTTAATGTCGGCGTTAGATTTTTTTTCTTGTCAGACACTTTGAAAATCAGAATCCTGTTACTGGAGTTCTTTTCATAATTAAAGCACTGGGGATTGAGGACAAGTTTGATAAGTTCAGGTAGCAGTTACTGAGCGTCTGTTATAGGCCAGATACTATGGTGAGGCTTTTGTACACATACATTACCAGATGGTTGAGGAGATTAAACACAGTGAAGTCCGACTGATGATCCCCATTCTACAGAGGAGCAACTGGAGATTAGAGAGATGCTGCAGCTTGCCCACGTCAGTCATTTAGGAAGTGCCAGAGCCGGGATTCCAACCCAGGGCTTCATACCCAACAGACAGTAGTGGTTGGTAGTGCCATTTCCAAGGGAACATCTGGGAGAACAGGGCCTGAGAACAAGGTCGTGTGCTTGGAGAGCAGTGGTGGGAAGGGGTGATGCTTGTAGATCCAGATCCGTGGAGAAGAGCTCTGTCAGTGAGGCACGTGAGCAGCCCAACAGGAAAAGATCCAGTCCCTCAAGTTGAAAGGGGATTTGCAACCTGGAATTCCAGATTCCAGTTATGACAGCGCCTGGACCCAGGGCTTATAGACTAAAAATGACAGCAGACTTGGCGGATACAGCTAAATGCCAGGGTGGTCAACCTCTCTAATGCACGGGCTTGATAGTTGCTTGATAGAAGCATTACTTCCAGGGATGGGAAGTCCTCTGGAAAGTCAGATAGTTCCCTTTCCACCCACTGGGACAATGCCACCCACCGATCTTTGACAGGAGACCTGTCCATTGCTAGCATCTCCATTATTTACTTCAGTCTGTGTTGTCCTCCTCTTGTCAGTTTCCTCCTCTTGTTGTGGTGGTTTGTTGCCATGGAGTAGTCTCTGACTGCTGGTGACCGCATTGGTACAGAGCTGGACTACTCTGTGGGTTCTCAAGCCTTTGACCTTTTAGAAGTGGATCGCACCTCTGGGTGGATTTGAACCACCATCCTTGTGATAGCAGTCCACTACTGGACTACTGTCCTCCTCCCCTGGTGTGATTGTACACCTGAAAGGGTCATGTCTGTGAAGACTGACACATTTCCTATACACTCCCTCTTTTATGCCACTTTGCTTTTGCCTGTTGGTTATAACCCAAAGAGTACCCTCCTCACCACTGCTTCTGCTACCGTTGTTAGCCCAAGCTGCCAGCCTTTCTCACCTTAACTGTGACAGTCTGTCCAGTCTACTCCCCCAGTGGCTTTCCATAAAAGCCAGAATCCTTGCAGTGGCCTGTGAGAGCCTTCCTGAGGCGGCCCTGGGTCTGTCTGGACCTTGTGTCCTCCCACGCTTTGCTTACTGCTGTCTGGCCTCTCTATCCCCAGAACAGGATAGGGTTTTTGCACGTGGTGGTTTCTCTGCCTGGGGTTTTCTTCTCCCAAAATAACGATGCGTTCATCTTTCATTTCATTTTGTTCTTTCCTCAGGTATCACCTCTTGAAGGACCTTCAAGATCACCCTGTCTGTAGCGTCCTCGCCCACCCCCACTCCTTGACATGTCCCTTTATTTGTTTATCTGTTTCCCTTACCAGATGTCAGCTCAGGGAGGGCAGAGACTATGTCTGTCTAGTCACTGCCCTGTTTTCACACCTAGAAGGGTGCCTGGCACAGCAGGGGCTCCAGCGCAGGAAGGATTGAAGCCAGTCTCGTCTGTTGGAGGCTGTGATGCTGCAGTGCGTTTAGTGAAAGCCAGATCTGTTTTCTGTTGGTTTGTCTTGCTGCGTTCTTTGATGAGCAGCTTCCTCTCTTCATAGCATCATGTTAACAACGTCTGCCTTACAGGTTGCGGGCCTCCCGGGTGCTTCTTGTCGGCATGAAAGGGCTCGGGGCTGAGATTGCCAAGAACCTCATCCTGGCAGGGGTGAAAGGACTGACCATGCTGGACCATGAACAGGTGAGCCATCTGGTCCCCTCACTGCTTCACCAGGACACTTGGAGATGCTGAGTTCCCACATGCCCCTTCAGCATGTGCATTCTGGCTCCAGCAGTCCTACTGCGTGACCAGGGCAGCCTCCGCCACAATGTTGCCCTTCCTGCCTGTAATGTGGAAGGCTGGGGGTGAGGGTTAGAAAGGGCTTTTCCAGTTTGTCTCTCAGACTCACCTGGCTAGCTGATGGAGAATGCAGCGTTACCTCGGGGTTTTGCAGTGCTAGATAGAGCCTTCCCTCCAGTGATTCGGATTTAGAGGGACTGAGGTGGGCACTCAGGAATGTGTGTTTTCAGGATACTTTGGCAGATTTTGATATAGATGGTTCACAGAGTTCACTTTGAAAACTGAGATTAGCGGGGATATACATGGACTGCTTAGCATGATGCCTGGGCAGTAACAGGCACGATTAATTGTAATTACATGACATGATGCTGTGTAATTGATAATAATAGTCTCTAACTCCAGGGTAGCTTTCTCTGACCTTATTCTCCAAGGTAAAAATAAGTACTTCTTTTATATTCCCCTGGCGAATGCCATTTTAGGAGCCCTGGTGGCACAGTGATTAAAGTGCTTGGCTGCCAACCAGAAGATCGTCAGTTCGAACCCACCAGCTGCTCTGTGGGAGAGAGATGTGGTAATCTGCTCCCGTAAAGATGACAGCCTTAGAAACCCTATGGAGTAGTTGTACCCTGTCCTACAGGGTTGCTATAAGTTGGCATCAACTCAGTGGCAGCAGTGTTGGCTGGGGATGATAACTTAGTTTTCTTTTATAGGAAGTGTCAAGTATACACGAAAGTAGAATATTTCACACCCATTGACCTGGCTTCTTTTGTTTCTCTCTTCTCTTTTTGGGCCAGTATTTCAAGGCAAATTCCAAAAATCATGTCGTTATTTTAGATGAAAGCTTCAAATCTTGTCATATAATTCTTTGTGTTTTTTCCTTTGGGCAGGGGGCAGGCATCTTGTCTCCTGCCAAGTAACTAGCACACAGTCTGAGGTGTAGATTCTGGGAAGAAGAAAACGTTAGTGAAATGTTCTAAAGCATTGCTGTGTTTTGGGATTGCAGGAGGAAACTAATACCAGGAATTATTTCTTAAAATAGAAATTCTGCTGCAATAGGAAGAGAGGCGTGGGTGGGCTCACGTAATATCATAGCCATAAACTGATGTGCGAGTTGAATTTAAAAACCGTCCAAGGAGAAAAGATGCCTGCAAGCAAACTGCCAGGTCATTGCTGACCGAGCAGTGGTGGCTTTGGCATCTCCCAAAGCACAGTGCCCCCTAGAGGCAGGAAGGCATCTGGAGCCTGCCTAAGCCCCTGCTGCTGTTGCCTGCATCCAACTCATAGCCACCCTGCAGCGGAGTAGAGTTACCCCATAGAATTTCCTAGGCTGTCAATCTTGACGGAAGCAGACTGGCTCATACCGACCCTCTGGGTGGCAGGTGAGCGCTTAACTGCTGCACCACCAGGGCTTGTCTAGGGTAAGAAATTCCTGAAAGAGAAAGAGCCAGAGACACAAGGAAGGAGAATGCCTAACAGTGGAGCCCCTTGGGAGCCCTTTACTTAGAAAAATGGAAGCCAGTGATGATGGTGACGTCTTCATCTTTGGGGAATCCCAGAATGGTGGGTTGTTGCTGTTGTTGTTATGTGCCATCAAGTCGGACCCAACTCATAGCGACCCCTCCTTGGGTTTCCGAGGCAGTATCACTACGGAAGTAGATTGCCCAACTTTCCTTCAGAGGAGTGGCTGGTGGGTTTGAACTGCCAGCCTTCTGGTTAGCAGTCAGGTGCCTTACGCACTATGCTACCAGAGCTCCCAAATGGTGGGAGATCATAAAAGTGGTGTGACTGGCACTGTATCAGGGTGTCATATTACTGTCTGCTGATAACGGTGACAGGAGTGCTGCCCTGTGTGGAGTGAGCATGTCATCCCATGTCTCTCAGAACTTAGAGTGCCTTCCACTCTCAAGTCTAAACTCTGCCTGGTTTCCAAGACCTAACATAGTGGTTCTTCACTTGGGCTGTAATTTAGAAAAACTGAGGGTTTTTTTAAGGAGCTCTGATGACACCGTGGTTAAGGCATTTGGCTGCTAACCAAAAGGTCAGCAGTTCAAATCCATCTGCTGTTCCACAGGAGAAAGATGAGGCAGTCTGCTTCCATAAAAATTTATAGCCTTGGAAACCCTATGGGACAGTTCTACTCTGTCCTGTAGGGTCACTGTGAGTCGGAATTGACTCAGTGATTTTGGGTTTGAGGAATTTTTTTTTTTTTTTTTAAATAAAAGTTCTCCGGGTAAGTCTAATACTCAGGGAGTGATGAGAACCAGTGGCTTGATGCTATCTGGTTCCATTCAGATCACCCAGGCTGACTACCCCTTACTCCTGTCAGATAAATGGAATGTTGCTGAACACACTGTGGTGCCCCTACCCTCTGCAATTTGCTTTGCCCTTCCCTGACTTCTGAGGGGCTGGGCTGTCAAGTGCAAAAGCTTCTGAATCGTGTAGGCTGGGCTCAAAGCCCACTCCTTGAGCTGGGCAAAGACTCAACCCCTCAGAGACTCCATCTGCTCGTCTGGGCTGTGAGGGTGCTCACGCCTGCCTGTTAGAGACTCTCGTCTGCTTTACAGTCACCACGCTTCACCAGCACCTGTGGGGTGCCCTGAAGTGAGCCAGAGCCAGGAGGTACAACGGTGCTGAAGGCTTGGCTCCCGTTCCCAAGATTTGCTAGAAACCAGAGGGCCCCTGACTCAGGAGACATGGAAGGCTTTCTGGAGTTCCGGTCTGAGCTGAATCTTAAGAGCAAGAAGGACTTTTATTAGGTTGAGGGGTGTATATTTTAGTTGAAGTGCATTAGCAGTGGTCCAAAGTCATGAAACAGCATTATAGAAAGGACATAACACAGCACACAGTGTGGTGTTTTGAGCGTGTGAAATCCACAGTGTGCTGGGGGGTTGGGGGGGCAGATGTGGGTACTGAGGGAAGGCCCAGATCAGGAAGGGCCTGCTAAGAAGCCCTGCTTCGAGCCTGACTTAATCCCCAAGTGCTGATGCTTTGGGAGTTTTTAATGGGGAGCATGGTGGCCCGGACAGCTTTGAGTTTTATATGGATCACTGATTGCTGTCTGGACTTGGGTTCAGGTGGCCCAAACTACAGGGTAGAAAGCCACTTAGCCGGGTATTTCATTAGTAGCTTGGCTGAGAAGTGAAGGGGTCTGAGCTATGGCACTGGTAAGAGATGACAGGAAGTTGTGAGAAATACTTAGGTGGCAGAATTGGTAGGAATTGGATCTAAGAGCAGAAGGAAAGCCCACCCTGACTGAAGGGCTCGGCACGTTGTCTCATTGAATCCTCTGAGTTGGAGGGCATCCTTGTCTTACCGGTGTCTCATCAGCAGGACCATGCAGTCTGCCCCAAGAGCCCATGCTCTCAGCAACCTCCCCATGGGCTGTTACTAAGGAAATGGGATGATCAGTATTCTTCCTGCAGTGACTGGCTGGGTGCCTCATCAACAGAGAGGACAAGTAGAGGAGGCACTGAGTTGCGAGGACCTGTCAGCCGGACAGCCTGGGGGATTATCTGGTGGGCAGTTTAGTAGAAGACTCAGCTGGGTCAGGCAGAAGTGGTAAGAGTAGTCTTGGTAGGACCTAAGAAACGTTGAGATGGTTTATGGATCTGCACAGTGAAAAGATGAATGAGATGGAATCCTGGGGAACAAGCACACCTAAAAGGACATGTTTAGAGACTGGAGTGGCCGGCAAGGCGGAGAGCCAGGATCTCAGAGGTCAAGGGTGCAGAGTATACACAGAGGTGTGATCTCTGGACTGATAGTAGCACTAGCAAACATTTACGGAGTGACTAGTGTGTTGTGTTCATTAATTCACATCTTTGTTTTACACGCAGGGGTAAACATTAGAGGTCAGTAATGCAATTAAAGTCACACAGTAAGTGTAGAGTCAGAATTGGAATCCTGGCCGATCATTGTAGAGCCCTCGCATTTGCCCAGGTGACACATCCTCTCTGTGCATGACAGTCCGTGAAGAAGCAGGACGGGATGGGTAAAGGTCACTGTGAAGAGGGCTGATCTTGATGGGAAGAGGGTAGCTCATTTTCTTGTGCTTGGAGGACAAGTGGTGAGGAAGAACGTGTGCTCTGGCTGGTTTGTAGGAGGAGTTCATGGGAGGTTACCTCTTTCGAACCCCATCTTTGGTGAAGTTGGCAGCAAGTTCGAATGCAAAGATCAACAGTTAAATTAGATGTTTGTTGTGTAAAGAAATGCTCTGTGGACAATCTGGAATCTGTCACCACTCAGTGGCTGTTCAGAGATTGTGTTATTTCATCTGTGGGTCTCTACCCTGTTGAAAGCCAGCCTCCTGGGGGAAATCCCTCTGCCACAGCCCCTGCTCTGCCTTTCTGAGTTTCGCATGCAAGTATTCTTAATTATATCCAATTTTTGCACCAGCCTGATTTTAAACCATTTGTAGGCAGGGACTACATCTTTAAATTATGTAAGTGTTTCCTGTGGTGCCTAGGGTGGGGCATATAGTGTAGATATGAAGTAAATGCTTACACCCTATAGTGGTCAGTCATTTTGTTAGCAGTTACCAATTTAACCAGAAAAAAGCTTGGACTACTGTTTAGAGGGGATTTTCTTTAGAAAACACAAGGGGGTGCTCTTTAGCCATCAATGACCAGTTTAAAAAAGAAAAGTTAAATGGCTATGTGTTTTAAAGGCTCAGAAGGAAATACATGGGGGAGTTACATTAGGCAGGTTCCCGCAGGAGCAGTAATGCAGTGAGATGGTAGGTACTTTACAATTCTTTAAAATCCAAAGGTTCCTTGTTTTTGAGATTTTTTTCCCACCCCCACTGCATCCCCCCAAAAAATCAAGAACTGAAAAAAATATATCTGATACTCCCAGGTATCTCCAGAAGACCCTGGAGCCCAGTTCCTGATCCGGACTGGGTCCGTTGGCCGAAACAGAGCTGAGGCCTCTTTGGAGCGCGCCCAGAATCTCAACCCCATGGTGGACGTGAAGGCGGACACGGAGAACGTAGACGAGAAACCGGAGGCGTTTTTCACTCAGTTTGATGCTGTGAGTTCCCGAGGGAGTGTCTGCTTTGGAAGAGAACAAAGGAGAGCATATTAGGGTCTGGGAAGTTCTGAGCTCTTCTCCATGTGGGTCTGTGAGATGCACACTTCCTGAGGTGGGACATGGGCTGGGTGTGAGAGGAGAGGTGCATATGTTGGACCTGCTGTGACTGTTTGTGACTTTGCTCTCTACTGGCTGCTGCTCTGTATGTCTGTTTCCTGACACCAGGCTTCACTGGTGATTTTTGTCTTCCTTCCAGAATCTGGGCACAGAGCTGTGACACGTTTTGTGGCAGCTGTTTTCTCCCCAAAACTTAACAAGTGGTTGGTTAATTTCTGTACCAGAGACTTTTTTTTGTAAGAAATATCAAACCACAGCTTGTGTTTTGTCTTAAGAAAGAGCAACCTGATGTTGGTCTGTCTCTGTCTCTCTCTCAGCCACTTTGACCATGTTGCCATGGTAAACTAGACAGAGTCACTGTGCTATATTGATAAACCAACTGAGGCCTAGCCACCCTCATTTGGTTTCAATTGCCAAATCTCTGCCGAGGTGAAAAGCATAAGTTAAATTCAATTATAGTATCTGTGACCTTTCAGACATAGTTCCCTGTACCCTAGAAAAGCATGACAAATGTTTGATAACCGTGAACTAGTTTTTACACGATGGCCCCATTCCATGAGAAGGTAGAGTCTGGGTTGGGCAGTTGATTTTTCTCACTGTTACATGTGAAAAATGGCTATGTGCATCTGTTCACAAATGGGCTTGAAATGATGGATGATCTGTGCATTTTTTTTTTTTTTTTTAAATTCTGTTTTGTCACTTCAGGTATTGGGACACTTTCTTTTTGGACACAAGTCCTCTCTTCATTTCTTACTCCTCAGTAGCCACGTTTGGTTCCTCCTAGGTGTCCCGTGAACTTTGCATAGGTAGAGACCAGGTTGTTAGCCCTGGGGTGTATGTAATGCGGGGAGCTGGGGAGGATAGCTGCCTCATGGGCCATGTGGGACTGGTCTCCATTGTAGGTTTGACTCTGGAGGGCTCCCCTGGTCAGTTGGCTGTATGTTTAGCTGGGGCTTTCTTACCCTTTAGATTTATTTTTCCCCTTGGGTGGCTCCATCCTTGACTGACGCATTTTTCTCAGTGTTACTGTACCATTCAGATTGATGGACAACAGCAGAGAGGTAGTAGCAAATGCAAACGGCCTTGTGTCATTTTTTCCCAACTTTCTGCATTCAGGAGAAATCATGTGAAATTTGCAGGTTAGTCTTACTGATCTTGATCACTGGACTTCTTCCTAAAAGCCAGGGTTCATCCACTGAAACTTTGCCATTTCCAGCCCTTCAACTTAAACACAGCCGGAAGCCCCAGGGAGACTAGTCATTCAGCTGGAGGTCACCCCATCTTTGTTGCAGTCTGAACGGAAGGCTGCTCTGTAACCTCTCCTTTTGTCTTTGAATCAGATAAAGTTTCACACCATAATCTGTGGAAAAATAATCCCAACAGCACTTGCTCATCTTCTTTATCTTAATATAGCCATCAAAAGAAGGGGGCAAAAAAGCCCTCATATTTAACAGTGTCAAATTTCTGACTCTGGGCCAATTTTAGAAACTCGTTTTCTTTTATAACTTCATTGAGAGTTTTCATAGATTTTCTATTTTAATAGACGTAGGCTACATGAAATCATTATTACCGTTTTTTGTTCCTCATGAAAACTATGAAATCTGGTTTTCGTATGATTCTGGACTAGAGGGAAGCAACGTATTGAGTGGCTTTTGCTTTCTCACTAAACACAGTTCATTTTGGTTGCAGAAAGTGTTGGTCTTCTAATTTACATTTTCTACACACTGAAACCTGCAACTTTCCTTTTGTCTGCTAACTATAGGACCCAAAGAACCTGTTGTACCAGTTTGAACCTGGCTTGCAACACGCCCCTAGAGACTGTTGGTGAAGATTTATGGGGACCGTCAGGGTGGTGGTCTCATGCTCTGCCAATTTCTGTCTTTCTTTCTGCAGGTCTGTCTGACTTGCTGCTCCAGGGATGTCATAGTGAAAGTTGACCAGATCTGTTACAAAAATAGCATCAAATTCTTCACAGGAGATGTGTTTGGCTACCATGGATACACGTTTGCCAATCTCGGAGAACATGAATTTGTAGAGTAAGTGTTGAAAGCGGACAGGAGAACATTACGTCTTCAATATCTAGTTTTATTTCCTGGTAGGAAATGTACCAGCTGAAGGGAGTAGTGCCTTACTGATGACATGGTCCAGAATTGTAGGAGATGTTGGGCCAGCCCTCCTAAAGGTTGGTCTAATCTGAAAGTACACCGAGCCTAAAGAAAGCAGGCTTCAGAAGTCAGCAGAGTGCACCACGTGGGCATTTGACCAGTCTGGATGGCATTGTTGAAGCCTGCTTTCTCTCTGTTTTGGGAAAGTTTGCTCCGATGTTGAACATTAATTGCCCTCTCCCCACGTCCCCCAGCTAGGATTGCGTGTTTTCGGGTTGAGAGATACTAAAACAGGTACCAGGTAGACAGAGGTAACTCCAGAGCACGTTGAGCCAGAGGCTATCTGAGACACGTCTTCAGGCCCGGGGACCGCACTGCTGGAACCGGCGTGCCTTGTCCTGTCGTTCTTGGCTCTGAGGCCCAGACCTGGGTAATCCTCATAGGATGGGTCCTGTGGTATTTGGGATTGTAGCATCTTGGCGAACGATGGTAGATGAAATAGTATTACAACACTATGGGAGGTGGGTATTTTGGTTGCAATTTCCGACACCCCTGACTTGGTACTGGGAGGTAGAGAGGCCTTTTGGGAGGGAGGAGCTTTCTACCAAGAGTCCAACTCTGCACTCTTGTTCAGCTGCTCAGAGCAGTCACTGCATTGTGCTGGGCTGTGAGGTCTGGCCTGTAAAATCGAGATAGGGATGGACAATGACGTGCAAGTTCCCTCAGCTCTCACTGTGCTTTTCAGAAAATCCAGTTCTTGGGACACATTGTGAACAGGTAAAGAAGTCAGAGTAAACCAAGTGTGCCAGGCTGTTTTAACTTGCATTCCCAAGGCAGAAAGGAGGGATTACGTTTGGGTGTTTATTTTGGAAGAGGAGCCTGCGGTCTGCTTCCAGAAAAGCAGCCATGAAAACCCTGTGTAGCACAGTTCTGCTCTGATACACGGGGTTGCGTGAGTCAGAATCAACTCAAAGGCAACTCCTTTTTTCCCCCTCAATATAGTTCATGATTCCAATAGAACGTTTACAAAACAATCACTTTCATTTCTTGAGAGCCCAGACGGGTGTGCTGAGTGATTGGGCGGTGCTGCTTCTCCTGTGCAGTAATCCTGTTGTGGACTCTTGTTCTTCGAGTGGGGAACTGACTCACCAGCAGACCTGGCATTTGAACCCAGGCTTGTCTGACCCTCACTGACCGTTCCGTTCTGTGAGCTGATGACGCCCTTTCTGGTCTAATGGCGAAGTGCATCGGCTAGACCCCCGTTCCCTCCCTGTGTCACCCTCCAGGGAGAAAACCAAAGTTGCCAAAGTTAGCCAAGGAGTAGAGGACGGCCCTGACACCAAGAGAGCAAGACTTGATCCGGCCGAGACGACGATGGTCAAGAAGGTATGTGGTTCTGACCCCGCCCGCTATTCCTGGCTGAGCCTAAAAGTGGGGGAGGGCAGCGGCCGAGGTCAGAAACCCCAGGGCCTTACAGGGGACAGGTGATTATAGTTGGAAATGAGTGAAGCAGGCCTGGAAGAGACCCATTTGAGGAGAGGGATCTGGAGAGACCGGAGCAGTGCTTTGTCCCATTGTGGGGGGGTGCCTGCTGCTTAGCGCCAGCCAGCTGTTGCCATGAGGAATCGGGCCCCCGTGATGCCAGATGTGGTTTCTCTAGAGAAGTCAAAAAACACAAAGTTTTGTATGATCTCTCCCAAATTTCATAGTGCTGTTAACCTGCTCAGATGGGTTTGCTACTGGCTGACACTGTGAAGGCCAAACTGAACATGTCTGCAAGCCTGCCTTTGGCCTGTGTGCCACCAGTTTTGACCTGTGGTATCATGTGAGGTAGTATCAAAGACTGAGCAAAACTTAGTACTTTGGGTCAAAATAAAAAAATTCAGGTTGATAGACAATTTAGTATAGTCCTACGTAGCAGGAACCAGCTTAAAATATTCTGAATTGCTTTTGCGACTTTAGAAACTTGTTTTCTCTCCCCACAAAGAACCTGTAAGAAGAAAAGCCTTTAGTGTGGACAGATGCTCTCAGATGCACGTGTATATAGCTCTGTAGAGATAGATACTTGGTGTAGTTTGTGTTAAGGGCCTAGACTGTATTTGGATCAAGTGCAGTTCATAATTTCATTTTCTAGAGAGCGATTGGGACAGGAGCCAGAAGTCCACGACGGGTCAGTTGGAATCTGAGAGGGAGGGAGGCCTGGGATGGGGACGACAGTGGAAGGTGAAGTGGCCAGAATCGGCTTTGTTGGAGTGAGAGGGACACGAGGACCAAAGGCACTTTTCTCTCGGCTTTGTGCATAGAAACGCTGAGAAAGAAGAACAGCTGGTCAGAGTCAGTTAAAATTGCCCCAAAGGGGGGATTTGAAAGCACCTGCAGAATGCCCCAAAAGTGGGTGCAGAGTCTCCAGTGGGGGGGCCCCGTGAGAGATCTTCTTTCTCTTACTTTTTTGTTTGTGTTGAAAGAGTTTGGTGGTGTAAGTGCAATAGAGGAATGATTAAGCCCTAACCTTAGCGTCTCTTCACAGGAATGTAATTATCTTGAGTGAACGTTGGTGTTTTGGCCAAACTTGGGTCCTTTTCTTCCTTCCTTCCTTTCTTTCCAGGCCCAGTCAGGCTTCAGCTGAATGGCCCTGTGAGTGGTGGAGGGGGGAGAAAAATTGTTAACAAACGGAGGAGTACAAAAGCAGCTTTGTGGGCTCCATCAGTGTATAAATCACACCCTCCTGGGAGTGTGACACTTGGCCTTGGTGTGAAGGGCTTGATGGCTTAAGGGCAGGCTCTGATTGAGGTGGGTCTTTCACATTCAGATGGGGAGAGTCCCCAGCTTTGTTAGCCATTCACAGCTGGAAGCTTCTCTGGAGCCCTGAGGTGCCCACTGGGGCGGGTCTGGAAGGCCCTTTCGAGCCACTTTAGCTAACTATGAGGAGAATGTGGGCAGCCCGGGCAGGCATTCTGGCGGGTGGCCCCAGTTCTTGGCCTCTTCGGTTACAGTTAATGCAGCCTCTTGCCGCTGGGTCAGAATCTCCCCAGCTGGCCATGTTAGTCAGCTATCTCGCTGAGTGCGGCGGGCTGGGATGCCGACCCCGGCCTCGAAGGTTGTGCTGTATTGGGTGCATTCCTGATGGCAGTCCCTGGGATGCCAGACCTTGCCTTTGTGCCCAGGGCCGGCCCCATCTGGGTTCTGGCCATGACTCTGCCACCATTCAGGGATACATCTCTCCCGTTTCAACAGAGGCGGATACGTGGTTTCAGAGTTCTCGTCTAACCCAGAAAGTCCTCGACCCAGTGTCCGCTCTTTTTGGGTGCTGCTCAGAGTGCAGGATGCAAGTGGGGAAGCAACCACTTCCTGTTTCTGGTGGAAGGTCTCTGGTTAGGGTTCCCTTCCCCTCCCCTTTTCCTTAGGTTCCACCACATGTTGTAAAGCTACTCGTGCTTCAAGGTACACATTGTTCTCCTAAATTAGAAACGTTAGACAACAGAGGAAAAACAGACCTTGTGGTTTTCACGCCATCTCAGAAGACACTGGGCCTTTGTAGCACAGGTGCATCGTGGGAGAATGTCTAGCCCAGAGGAAGGTGCTCAGTAGATTGTGGACTTCTTTTAGTGCCCAGAAGAAGTCGGGAGTCAGATCTCATCAGCTCCCAGGCTGGGGCACAGACCTGCTTTGGACACTGAGGCGCAGCAGGTAGAGGAGGGAGAGTTGTTGCAGGTCAGGAAGAGTGTCTAGGAAGGCTTCCCAGAGGAAGAATTGTCTGACTTGGCACATGAAGGACAAGTGTGAAAGTGCCAATGCCTGACCATTATCCGGGGGCAGGAAGGAGACAATAAAACACAGGCCTAGGGCAGAGTAACTCTGCTTCCCTCCCTGCAGGCAGCCAGCCCTTCCCCCGTCCATGACTAGCAGAGTGCCTGCCCTTTGCCGAGCATGGACTGAGTGCGGGGAAGCATAGCCAGCTCTGCTGTCTCCGTTCAGAGCCAAAACCAGAGCCAAGGGACGCTCAGTGACCTGTGAGTGGTCCGGCCTCTGCGTGAGAGGGAGCGATGGGAAGAGCGGACAGACAGTGGTGATAGGCACAGGCTCCACAAGCCACAGGCTGGATCCCCTTGGAGTGTCTGGGATCATTTCAAGTTTTCTGAGAACGGTGAGAATTCGTATGTGAACGTTGGCGTCATCCTGGAATAAAATCAACACACAAAACCCACTGCCATCAAGTTGATTCTGACTTATAGTGACTTTAGGACCCAGTGGTACTGCTCCACAGAGTTTCCAAGCCCCTCATCTTCTTAGAAGCACACTGCCAAATCTTTCTCTCGCAGAACAGCTGGTGGGTTCAAACCACAGAATTTTCCGTTAGCAGTCAAGCACTTTAACCACTGCACCACCAGGGTTTCTTCCTTTATCTTCCAAAAAAACCCAAATGTGTTATTGTTGATTCTGACTCATAACAACATTGTAGGACAGAGCAGAACTGGGGTTCTAAGGCTGTAATCATTACAGAAACAAACTGCCACATCTTTCTCCCATGGAGCCGCTGCTGGGTTTGAACCAGCAACCTTTTGGTTAGCAGCTGAGTGCTTAACCACTGTGTGATACCAGGGTTCCTTCATCCTGGGAAACCTTTGGGATACAAGGTTACAACTAGTGTTTCTTTCTTGTAAGTTGTCCAGGTTGTTAGGGACTGCCTGTGATGAGAAGATGCCATACTTGGTGGGTTACTCTCAGGTGACAATGTTTTAAAGACTGGGCACACGGTGGTGTGTTGTACTGGTTGCCAATGCTGCTGAAAACTGCGGATTTCACGTTTCTCTTGCTCTGCAGTCGTGGGCAATGGATCGGGGCGTTCACTGTTAATATTCTTTCCATGAATGGATCATGAAAGCACAGTCAGGTAGTGAGTCAGTGTCCTGATTACTCTTTTCTGAGCAATTTGTTGATGAGTCGCTCTTCCTCCTTCCACCTCCACTTTATTTATTTATTTATTTGTCCATTAGTTTGTTTATTATTTATTTACTTATTAAATACTGTGATTTGGGTGAAAATTTACAGAGCAAATTCATTTTCCATATAACAGTTCACACACATGTTGTCTCATGACATTGACTACAATTTACCCCAATCTCCCCTCCTGCTTCCTCCCAATAGCTACCTCCTCCCTGTGTCCATCCCTCCCTGCACTTCTGCCCCCTGAGCTGTCTCCCTGTGCATAAACAGCCCTTCTTTCTCCCATGGTTGTTCTCTCCAAGGAGTGTATCCATCTCAGGTACGTTTTCAACTCATAGGCCTGTCTCTTGTTTGGCTGAAAGCCACAGGTGTGGGTTCAGTTCCAGACCTGAAGAGCAGCTAGGGATCATAGTCTCAGTGGTTCTATCAGACCAGCAAACCTGGCCCTTTTTTTTATTCAGATGATTTTGAGTTTTGTTCCACATTATTCTCCCTCTCTGTCCAGGATCTCCTACATAGACTCCCCCCCCCCCCCCAAGTGGTTAACAGTGGTAGCGGGGCACCATCTAGTTCTTCTGGTCTCATAGTCGTATAGGCTGTGGATCGCATGGTGTACCAGTTGTGAGGACTAATTGTTTCCATGAATCTTTGGTTTTCTTCACTCTTCTTTGTTCTGGACGAGGAAAGACCCATCGTTGCATTTAGATAGCTGTTTGCAAGCTTTTAAGATCCCGGTCGCTGCTCGCTAAATTAGGACCACCTCCATATTTTTAAAGCAGCCTCTGACACCTGACTGGTGTGACTCCATCTTAGTAGGAGATGCCTTGACACGGCTCTGCAGCACTCATTGTACTTGAGGTTACTCGTAATGTCTCTCCTGTTAGACTTTTTTTTTCTATTTTTTATTGTAGTGAAAATATACAAACTAACTGTTGGCTGAATCAACAGTTTTTGCATATACAATTCAGTGACATTGATAACATTTAAGTTGTACAACCATTCTTGCTCTTCTTTTCTGAGTGAAACTATCTCCATTAGTGTGAACTCACTGCCCCCAACCCCTAAGCAGAAATTCCCCTTTGCTCTTCCTTCCACTACTGATCACCACTGATTTCTGTGTATCTGCTTATTTCATACAAGTGACATTACAGGATTTGTCCATTTGTGGCTGACTTACTTCACTTAGCTTGATGTTTTTAAGGTTCACCCATGTTGGGTTGAACCTCACAACTTCATTTCTCTCAGCTAAGTACTGTTCTGTTTTGTCTCCTATTAGAGCTTTAGGGTCCATAAGGACAGGGATGTCACCTGTTTCATCCTCTGCCACATTCCAAGCCCTGTGCCCCCAAACCAGAAACAAACAAGTTGCTGTTGAGTCGATTCATAGTGGCTGTATAGGATAGAGTATTAGCAACGGAACAAACACTCTCTGACTTAAAAAT